CTACGAAACGATTGATTGATTGTTTACTGTTTAACGTCCCTCTCCAGAATATTTCACTGATATGGAGACGTCACCATTGCCGGTGAAGGGCTGCAAATTTAGGCCTATGCTCGGCACTTACGGCCTTTGAGCAGGGAGGGATCTTTATCGTGCCACACCTGCTGTGACACGGGGCCTCGGTTTATACGGTCTCATACGAAGGACCGCCCCATTTAGTCGCCTTTTACGACAAGCAAGGGGATACTGAGAAGCTATTCTAACCCGGTTCCCCACGGGGGTCTACAAAACGACTTTAAGAACTATTGCAATAACACTTAAACGCCATGATACATTGTGTATTTTATCATTTTGATGTCGTCCAAAGATATCGATTTTCTTACTTTTAAACGGTCAACTTGTCCAATGTCTCTCAAAATTGACTACAGATAAAAATCTGGAAAAGCTGTGAGTGTATAGTTACGTGTATGTTATACCTTATTTATTTTGACTTGAAGTGATTTGACTTATAACTCGCTTTGTTCATAATAAAGACATATTGAAAATTTAATAAAGAATCGTTCAATACCTAGAACATAACATTCTTATAATTACTAAAACGTTTTGTCCGATATCTTTTTCTAATAGACTAGTATCAGTTCCAGGTCAAATGAAAATGGTCAAAGATGGTATTTTAATCTCTTCTGGTCGAATACCAGAAGAGCTTATGTGAAACTAAGGTGTCAGTCGCCCATGGGTCTGTTTGTCTGTCCGTCTGTCAACACTTTTTCAAAATCTTCCCAAAAAATTTCCTCAGCTTTGGTCTGAGTTCATTGTAACATGGCACACAAGTACACTATAGCCACAACACTAACATATATAATTCTGTGTATCGGATTTTGATTTGAATGAATGGTGTTGTGTGGCTACTACAAAATAGATTTCTTTGAAATATTTTCAATATGAGATTCTTCTTATAGATTTGGTCTGATCTTCTTATTTGGCAAAAATATTATACAAAGATACATGATTCAGTATATCGGATTTTGATTTCACTGAACAGTGATGCAATGGCTACTAAAAATAATAATTTCTTAGAAATATATTTTCGGTATGCCACCGCTACATAGTTTTAGTCTGAAAACAACACATTTTGCTTAGTAAAAGACTAAACCAGTGATCATTTTGCTGTTGCAAAGTACCAAGTTCTAAGGCTTTTTTTTTCTTTCTTCGTTATAAGTAAAAACTAGTAGAGCTACATATTGCAGCTTAAGATGTAAAATCGGGTTGTTTTAGCTGTGTTTTCTTCTGCAAAACATTGTAGATTAAAATGGCTATTGTTTGCAATATCCATAACTACAGATCCAAGCATGTGTTTTGGTATCGAGGAATCAAAAATTACCAGGTAGACTTTTTAAAAGTTTCAAAGGGACAGAGAAACGTTTGGTGTGAAGGTGATGAAGAACTAACTGTTGATTTACATATAAGTTTGTAATTAAACAAAAGTAGCATTGCATATTAAAGATGCATTGAAAGACCGATTCCCATAATACACCTACGCTTCTGTTCTTGCTGAAAACGTCCCATCGTATTTACATTGTTACACTGTGGACTAGAAAATTTTGCATCACTATCGAAATTGTCATTACATCCATAGGGAAAGGACATACTTAGTTTTGTATTCCAATATTCTTTTTGTTTACAGAACGGTACTTAATGATGGACTTTTTTCGTTTAGTAAACCTTTTTCTAGAATTCTAACTTTTATTATCAAAATAGAATGAACAGATTAATTATCATGCTTGTATAAAAGCTGCTAACCCACATTGTTTATTTTAAATAAATGCCCTTTACATTCTATTATTAACTGATCCCTTGGTTTCACTAACATTAACAGATTAAATAGGATTGCTTTCTATTCCGTAGATAACATTAGAATATTAGCAAAACATTCAAATATCGAAGAGAAGGGACAGCCTCTCAAGAATTAATTTGATTTCGAGTTCACAGGAATATACCGAGTAACAATTGAAATAAGAAGTGTTCAGAATAAACGTAATTCTCATTTAAGTTATGCTTAAATGTCCCCAATTAAATGCAGCATCAAGTTTCAATTTCTTCAAAGCTTAATACCAATGAATGAAAGATAGAGGAAAAGCTGATCTTTTTTTTTTTTTTTTTTTTTTTTTTGCTGCTTAAAAAGTTTCATACTGTAAGTTGTTCTTTATTTTCGCTCTGCACAGTCGGTGTCCCTAAAAATGTATTGAAATTGGATTGGGAAACAAGAAAGCGGTACGTGGAGTACACCAAGAGAGGAATCCACAAGAATCCACAGACAGTTCACCATGCTAGAGGAATTATTGTAGGCTGTGTTGGTGCTGGTAAGACCACACTATTGAATCGTCTGCTCAGATGTTGTGAACAAAAGATTAAGGGTGAAAAATATACGGAGGGATTGGAGCATGGGCAAAGAACAGATGATATACGGAATATGACAGCAACAGATGACTTTGAGTTTCAAGGTAAAATGCTTGAAATTCATGAAAAAAGTTAAGAGATGAAAAGAAGCCCGTGTTTGTTGAAACCCATTATGCTTAAAAAAAAACAGGGGTATTAGGGTCCAAAAGCAGAAGGCGGAGGACCATACCACCTTTCAATGAACATTTTTATACTTAAATGATTTTTTCATTCAGAGAAAAATGTTCGGGAGGGGAAAATCCCTATAAGATTGTATATGTTTGAATGTATCTGTATTTAATGTTCACCTGAGTGGAAGTGAAATATACCAGGTAATACTTTCATAACTATATGTATCAATTTGGAGTTTCTCAGTCCTTTGTAAATCCAATGCAAAAAAAAAAAATCCCTGTTTCCCTGGACGTTCACGTGCAGGTGAATATCGTGATTTTTATCAATGTTTGATCTACGAAATTCAGAGAACTACTTCGTAGGAGTTATTTAATTACATGATAAAACAAACACTGCTTGAAAAAACACCTTTACAAAACTTTACTTGCAAAGTAAATTTCATTAAAGGTGCTCCGAAAAGCAAGGTCATCTTTGTATTAACTTTACAAAAGGTAAAGGTGAAAAGGTAACCTTTACTTACACGAAAAGATAATTAAATATAACCTTTCACCTTTACTGCCATATTAAAGTTCATTAAATATTCTGTATTTCATAAAAGTCTTATTTAAATGCTGACTATTGTTTAATACACTTATACTTTTGATTTTCACAGTTAATTTAAAGAATCTAATCTAGTCAGTACCCAGAATTTTAAGACAAATGTCAAAGATATTTTTTTAATTATCTTGTATCCATTTCCAGTTGAAATGAGTATTAGAAATGGTCATCTACAGAATTACACACTCGACTCATCATTATTTGACAGACTACACCTCAATTAATACAACAACTATGCTGTAAGCCAGCTTAGCTTAGTTGGAGCAGCTGGCGTTTATTTTGATACATATGTAACTTACATTACATTGAATATGAAACAATAAAGCACTGGAATGCATTTGTAAAATATTTTACTTGTAATAAATTATACCCCTATCACAGACATTAAAAACCGCCCAGGCAAAAACCATAGATGGTTAACTATGGAAAACCTGTGTCCGTCGCTATGTAAATAATGTCTCAAGGGAGAATGCCGGACGTGCATTCAGTGCAACAGTTAAAAATGCACGAACACCCTATAATATTTGCATGTATGAAAAAATCCAAATTAAAATACATTTCAACAGTTTTGTTATTTCCATTACCAGTATATTTATACAAATATGACATATATATTATATACATGTATAAAGCAAAAAAAAAATGTGTGTGTATTGAAGAGCACTGGCTTAGAATGATTTGAACACCTTACTGAATGCTCATTTCTCATTGGCCTTTCTTTGGCCATGCCCACATATACAACCAAAACCATTAATATACGTTCCTCTCATACAATGTGTTCCCGCTCTACTATGAAACACGGGAAAAAAATATTATCTGCACCAGGATTGCTTACAACTCTCTGGATTGGATGGCATAGATTTTTTATATGTACATTGATATTAATGATATATTAATTAATAATATAACAATGGAAAAAAATTGGCATATTGATAATTTTCATTTTCCAAATAAAAATGACCTAAAATATTCTGTATTTTGGCTTCTCATCATATGATGAGTCAGATATACGGCACAAAAAATCTCCAGTTATGATCTTGAATATAAACATTATATTGAGCTATCTTTGACTTTTGTTTTCCTTTAAACATTCAGATAAATGTGAGACAAAATTAAAAAAAATACAGATGACAAGTATAAATTTCACATTTCTGCTTATGAAATGGAGGTCCCATTTCACTTTAAGATATCATACCGGTACAATATTATTTATTCTTTATGGTGCATGTACATATATAACATAAACTTTGCAGTTTGAATTGAATTCAAAATGTAGAAAAAATTACATAAAAGGCTAATAAAATCTTCAACTTGTAATGCAAAATGATGCATTTTACATATTCACAAACACAAAAAATGATGAAAAATCTATTAGAATATATGTGAGGATGCAGTTTGCAAAATGCATGAGATCATGTATGAGTCCAGATTCACCCAGTGAGCCTGTCTGTGCCTGACTTAGTTTAGATTATGTTTTTATGTCTGTGGTATATGTTTGTGTGTATGTGTATGTGTCCAGCTTCACACACTTTCATGTATGTGCTCGACTTCACACACCTTGGAAAATATGTAATAGGTTGTGGTAGATGCTTGTGTGTTTGCATATGTGTCCAGCTTCACACATTTTCATGTATGTGCTCGACTTCACACACCTTGGAAAATATGTAATAGGTTGTGGCAGATGCATGTGTATTTGTGTATGTGTCCAGCTTCACACACTTTCATGTATGTGCTCGACTTCACACACCTTGGAAAATATGTAATAGGTTATGGTAGATGCATGTTTGCATGTATCCAGCTATACGCATTTCAATGTGTTTACGTCAACAATGTAAAATATGTAAACATGGTGGTGTAAAACGTTTACAAGTGTATGATGCACACAGAGAAAAAAAGTTCTGTGTGTTTTGTTCTGCAAGAGTGATCGTATAAACAAACTACAATTACGTCCTGTTGAGAAATTGAAAATCATAACAAGTAACATATTCATTTTACATAACTGTAATGAAAATTACACATCCAGTTTAAATTACTATACTGAAAATTAAATTTGTGCAAAAACTCTCTGGCTGAATAACATTCAGAATCATGAATGCTTGCATGTTCATCTATAAATCTCCAAGATATTTCTTAGTTTACATATTCTTGATCAAATCATCGATAACAGTGTATATTCTTGATCAGGACATCCAACCGAGCGGTCTTACAACATATTTCATAATGTCAGTTTGCATGAATAAATCAATTTATCCTTGTTTCTAATATCTTGAAAATAGATGCCGAAATTCTAGTCTACCGTTTACTTACACAGCACATCACAAATAGAAACATTCAGGAAAAAAAAATTCGCAAAAAATAAAATCCAAGTAAAACAATCACATGTACATACAAATCCAAGAAATATTAGGTAATAGTCCAAGTAAGTGAGTAACTTTATCTATCTCTAACAGTTCTATCTACTAAGTCTTCTATATTTCCATCTTCCTATCTTATTCTAAATTTCTGTCGCACTATATATATACTCAAGATCCGCTCCTGACAATCAGGAGCACATTACAAGATCCTTAAGATCAGGAGTCAATACACAGGTCATTAGATCAGCAGGGGGTTAGATAAGAGAGGGCGATTAATATATAGATAAGATTTACATGTATATCATAAGTGTAGATGATCATGTGTGAACAATTAAGTAATGAAGAGTGATTTACGGATAAGATATTTTAAATCGTTACAAGTTTACATATTCTTGATCATATCATTAATGAGTATATGTTCTTGATCATGGCATCTGTATTGGATTCCCCTCTCTGACATCTTTTCTTGTTCACCAATGAGTTCAACAGTCATCTAGGTACTCAGGTGTTGTACAAGTCCTAATAATAATAATTTTCAAAATTATAAAAAAAAAAAGAAAACAATTTTTAAAGAGGTTTTCATTAATTCTATTGAAATTAAAGCACAAGCTTTTGAAGACATATTTAAGTAACTTAAAACATGTATAACTAAACATAATGGAAATTTAGACAATGCGACTCAATGTCAAACATATGATAGTGACACATCTGTAATATCCATGATACTTACTGAGATACTTAAAATGTTTGTGGCTTGCTTTCACTAAGCTAAGCAATGTATAAACATTTCTTGATTACACGTTGAAGTCAAAGGCTTAAGATAAATAAGTTTGTTTCCTGTAACATTCCCAAAATATCAAGGGTCGGTAGGTCGGAATTTTTTTTTTTTTTTTTTTTTGCTTTTGAATGGTGAAACATCCCCAGACTGAAAATACCAGGTGTTATATTTACAGTGGACACCCAACATTACATCCAAAATAGCTGCCTAGCGGCAGAAAACGAACTTCAGAAAGTTGTAGGGGGAAACTGTTGTTACAATAATGATTACTCTTTATATATTTAAGGTAAATGTAAACTAGGTTGACATATTTTATGTCTCAAATTAAGCTACAAGCTATTGTTTTTATTTAATAAATGGAATCAGCTGATTGATTAAACAAAGTTTTGCCATTTGTCAGGAAAAAAAATCCACCCAGGGATAATTTGAATAGGTCGGTCGGGTTACAGGAAACAAACATAATTTATTTTTAGGCCCAATCCTCACCTGACTTGCCATTCTAATGGATTGGTTCTATGTTGATAATCCCATTCAACAATCTTCATCACAACATCTGAAAGTCACCCATCTTCAAAATTAAATCTGCCGCTCACCTCAAATGTATATAGACTCCCTGTACAAGTGCATGGAAAATAAAATTTTGAATTAAAAATGAATTATCTCTTCACCATACCCGGCCTCTTAAAAAAATGTTAGAAAAAAATTTAAATACTTTTCTTTAAATAGATAAAATCATGTAGTGAGTATCCAGCAATGGTGAAAAAAAATTATCTCTAGAATTTTACATTTATATTGAATGAAAAATGCAGTGTTCCCTCTACTTAAAAAAACTCAAAAGACGTTACCTAAAATGGAAATAAGGTACAACTGTGACTGGTGTCTCAGGCACAACCACTAAACACAAGTACTTTCCATCCTTAGCAGCACGCACTAGCTCCACATTCCTTGTTTCTACAAAAAATATACAATGAAAATTTTTAAAAATGAAAGCGAAGAGTGTTACATGTACTTGGGGGAACAGAGGAAGGAATTTTGAAGTCAGATTAACTATATTTCTGCCAGTGTTGGGACAGATAAATTTCCATAATAAAATGAAACGAATTATTCATAACAAATAAGACACATGTATTACCTTGCAGTCACCATCACACATTATGTATAAACTTTTATTGATTACACGTTGAAGTCCAATCCTCACCTGACTTGCCCATTCATATGGATTGGTTTTATGTTGATAATCCCTTTCAACAATCTTCATCACAACATCTGAAAGTCATCCATCTTCAAAATTAAATCTGCCGCTCACCTCAAATGTATATAGACTCCCTGTACAAATGCATGGAAAATAAAATTTTGAATAAAAAATGAATTATCTCTTCACCAAACCCGGCCTCTTTAAAAAATGTGAGAAAATAATTTAAATACTTTTCTTTAGAAAAAATCATGTAGCGAGTATCCAGCAATGGTGAAAAAAAATTATCTCTAGAATTTTACATTTATATTGAATGAAAAATGCAGTGTTCCCTCTACTTAAAAAAACTCAAAAGACAATACCTAAAATGGAAATAAGGTACAACTGTGACTGGTGTCTCAGGCACAACCAATAAACACAAGACCTTTCCATCCTTAGCAGCATGCATTAGCTCCACATTCCTTGTTTCTACAAAAAAAAAAATACAATGAAATTTTTAAAAAAAAAAATGAGTGCGAAGAGTGTTACATGTACTTGGGGGAACAGAGGAAGGAATTTTGAAGTCAGATTAATTATATTTCTGCCAGTGTTGGGACGGATAAATTTCCAAAATAAAATGAAACGAATTATTCGCAACAAATAAGACACATGTATTATCTTGCAGTCACCGTCGCACATAATGTATACAACTGACAACATCCCAAATCCCTTTCTTTGTTGTTTACTTGGCGGAATTTTCTTTGCCTTTTAGACTGGTTCCCATACATTGCCGTGAATAAGTCCTACGTTTATTGGTTTTGTTTACAAGCTTCAATATCAATAAAATCTCCCGCACATTTACAGTCTGTATTGTAATCTACTAAAACATACTTTACACACAATTTTTCAGCTCAGTATTATGTTATCCTCTTCATTCAAGTAATATGTAAACTCTTCTCGAATGTAAAACGAACGATCTACTCTGATAAGTAACCCAAATATGGCACTGTGTATTCGGTTGAATAGCCAATCATTTCAAATCAAGCGGAGCGGGTCTGCGTCGCTATTTTGACGAAGTTTGCAACCTGTGGTAATATTTTGAAACCTCATCTAGATTTAAGGAGATTCTTGTCTTGACAACTGCTCGAACCCCCAGATTGGCATGCACTGCAGGTTTGTTTACGATTTCCAGCCGTTTTCACTTTCAGCATAGATCATGATCAGTACATCGTGCATGTAGTGAAACAATGAAAGTCAGGCAAAAATACGCTGTATATGTTACTTACTGCCAAAATGTTAGATTAGTATTTTGATAATTTAGGGATTAAATGTTAATGGGTTTCAGTTTATTCTGTAAAGGTGTATGTCTCTGGAATATTAAACAAGACATGTAGTGGGACTAAAATGAGTAGTTAAAACCGAGCTGGGCCGGGAATTTGAAACTGAAACCGGGTTTTTGCTAATTACTGAGAATATACACAATCAGTTGTCAAAAAACTTAGTTACAGATGTATTTATGCCTAGGCTGAGAGTTTCAAATCTGAAATTGACAAATAAGTTTATATTACTTATAACATTTTGTATTTTAATTGTGTCCATTTTGTTAAAATCCAGGTTGAGTGAAATCAGTATGCAGATTGTTGAAGGGAAAACATCAAGACGGGGCAAGGAAGACGATAAAACATGACTGAGGATCCCAAAGTTTTTTGGTACAAGCACATTTTTAAAAAATCAAATAATAAGTATCGTGAAATGTTACTTGAACAAACATTTACATTATTTTATTTATTTAGTGCTTGACTTGCTCGGGAGTCATTATTGTCAAATGTATTTGTATAAAATGTTCAATTTCTTTTGTATAGGCTCAAGCTACTCAGCCTACCATGAGAAACTTAAAGGATCTGCCATGAAGAAGAGGCGGGTTCTCAAGTTTCATATTATAGATGGCAAGTATTGTTTAGATTTAATTTTAAAGTATTCTTGATTAAAAAAAAGGGTGTTTGGCAGTTCGTAGCTATTAACTGTGATTGCATTGTGTATGAATTTTCAAAATCAATTCATTCTTTGGTGACCGTGTGCTTCAAACACATAATTTTTAATAAAAACATTGACTATATATTTGTCCAGGTGTATAAAATGTTAATCACTGTATGAATTCTATTTCAGCATGATTGTCATCTTCAATTTGAGGGACTCTCACCTAAAGTCCTTTTACTGTTCCATATCAGGAAAAAGTTCATGAGCAGAAACATGCTGTTTGGGAAAAAGGTACATATATCCTAACCCATAACTTGAGTATGATTCTGTACACATGTACAGCCAAGCTAAATATGTAGCACTATTTTGTTCTTTTTGTAAACTGACTGCTGAGTAGGCAGGAAAACCTATCATTTCTTTATGTTTCAGGGATTTATTCTTTGATTGTGATAAGTACCCTTAAAAAGTACATAATTCTCAAATTGTAATTTTAGGCATTAGGCTTTTTGTGATAAGGGATACATGACCTAACCCACTGATTCTTCATATAATATGTCAATAACAAGAGGTCCACTCATCATATTAAATTAATACCATTTTTATTTTTGAGGTTAAAGGTCATGTATGAACTTTTTATTTATTAATTAGGTTGTGCATTGTTTTTAGTTTTATTAATCATGGTATTGTGAATTCTGATATCAGATGCCTTTGAAAATATTCATACTTAATGCATAGCACTGAAAATATACTTACAGATTTTTTTTCTTTTAGGAAAAGCATTAGAAGAATGCCTGCATGGGAAGAAAAGTTTTGGACTCTGAAAAGGGAGATGTGACAAGTACATTTTGACAGTTATTGATTTCCACTGAAACCAATATTCACAAGAAAGAGGAACATAGTAGATTTATGTTGATTCACAACTTTAAATTCAAGAATGTACAGTTGGTTTTATTATAAAACATGTCACGTACGAAAAACATTTTCGTGAAATGTACTCTGTCTTCGATACTTATTTATTTGTATGTGATTTGCAGGATAGGATTTGGGCAACATATACTGTCAAGAATCTTGATGTTTTTGATCTTATATTTGTAAAAAAAAAAATTGTAATAAACAAAGTTAAAGTCAACTTTTTGTTACTTTGTATATATTAATTATGATGTCCAGACTTCCGCAGTATCGACTTGGAAGCAAAATCTTATTTATAAATTGCATAAGGCTTTATTCACTAGAATGGAAAACAGAAATTATTGACTTTTGTGGTAATTAAAGATGGTATTTAATTAAATTTAAGATCTGTAATTATCAGATTTAATGTATCCTAAATATGGTGTTAAATGGTTGTAAATATTAACTTTACTTTTTTGTAAAGTCAAGACAATGTGGGACATTACATCATATTTAAGTGCATGTAAAGTTAATGTAAAGGTTACCTTTTCCAACTTTGACTTTTTTCAGAAAAGCCTATTAAAGGCATTGTAAATAATAAATTTACATTATCTTTACTTGTTTTGTAAAGCCGAATTTTCATGCAGTGAAATTTCTGATTGACAAGAGTTCTGGATCCGGTATTAATTTACTAATTATTAATGATATCGATACAAGTCATAAAGCTTCCCAGTCTGCAATTTATTACTCTCCATCATTTATATGGACATTTTCATTTTTTTATTCAAAAACAGTTGAAATGAAGGATTATTATTCTGAACAGAAGAAACGGGCAAAGGATAAGAATAATGGAACAAATGAAAATGTGAATAAAACACTGAGTTTCTTTGACTTTGGAGGACAGTGTGCATATTACGCCTATCACCAAATTTACTTGATGAGGAGAGCCTTCTACATCGTGGTGGTTGATGCATCCAAACACATGAACCAAGAAGTGGATACTGGTTGGACATATAAAGGTTTGTTATTAGCTTTAATTTGAATATGGCCATCAACATTTCAGTATTATATGGGGACAATTCTAATACGGTAAATCTGTTATCATTATCATCAATCAACATAAAATATATATGTATTTATTCAGATTTTGTATACCTTTTCAGGATATGTTAACTTCGAAAATAAGATCAATTTAGAAAATGAGATTTTTTAAGTGAAATTTCTATTTCATTCGTGAATGTAACCTCATATTTTCTTCCTTCTCTTTTTGGAATTTAACAGATGACTTTCAATTTTGGTTGAAGTCGATCCACACCTATTGTTATGAGCAAAATGCAAAGGACCTGGATGTAATGATAGTTGTAACTCATTGGGAAAACAGTATCAACAAGGTATATACGAATTTTGGTTTTATAAAGATATAAGAATTTTATTTAAACCGTTATTGTCAAGAATGAAGACTGCAAAATTTAAATTTTTTACTTAACATATACTCTTTGATAATGTTATGATTCATTTTCACTAGTTTCTTTTTATGTAATGGATAAATGCTGCTAAGTACACAATGCATTTAGATAAAGATATTTACTAAAATCGTAAATGGTGACATATGTTTGTTAGAATGATCACCATTTGAAACGACAATATTTTTGATGAACTATTAGAACACAATTCAATTATGGTTATTCTAATGAACCGAATGTTTGCAATGAAATATATTTCTCTATTGTAATGCAGAGCAAGACTGATTTCATGAAAACTCTAATCAAGGCTCTGCCACGTCATTCAAATCTGGGTCAATATATCAGAAAGGATTCCTTATTCTACACAGAGATCTCAAAGGAGAATTTACCACATCTGGAAAAATTCATTGTAAATCTTGCAGAATCGGAGAAATTCAGTAGAAATATACCTCCTGAATGGAAGTTCCCATGTAGTGAGATAGAACGCGAAAGAATTGTAATGCACAATGCCATCCTGTCTTTCGATTATGTGTCCAAAAGAATGCCAGTTAATGACGGAAACAGACTGGAAAGCACAAAACAGATGTTACGATACTATCACGATGCTGGTGAAGTCCTTTACTTTAATGAAGAAGGTTTGAATGAATCAGTTATCATTGATGTTCATTGGTTTGTTTATGCATTTAAATGCATCATCACAGATGCGAATTGTGTGGGAGGAATCGATGCTTTTAATACCGAATGGGAAGAATACTACGCTACAGGTATTTTAAAATGCAATCTCTTAAGTCATATTTGGGAGAGGGAAGATACAAAGTTATTAAATTCTTTCAAAGAAAAATCCAAGGTAATTGGGAAGAACAGTCCTTGTTTGCTTTTGTCTCATGAAGAAGTTCTACTTAAATATATGCAAAGGCTGGGATTAATATCAACAGGTGAATCGATACATTATGTGCCTTGTATGAATAAGAGGCAGTTTGGTGATCAACAGAAGTTGATTATTAAAAGTGCTCCACTCAGGTCTTCAGTTTTAGTGTTTTTGTTTGATTTTTTACCATTCTTTCTTTTCTATCGGCTTGTGGTGAAATTGATGGAAATTAAATCCTTTAATGTTCTAAAGGACAATGATATCAGTTGCTTATACAAAAATGCTGCTTTGTTTTGTTACAAAAATCATCAT